GTGTGTGTGTGTGTGTGTATGTGTGTGTGTGTGTGTGTGTGTGTGTGTGTGTGTGTGTGTGTGTGTGTGGTTCATGTGTGCAAGTTATTAGGTATGTGTGTGAGTGTCTCCCTGTTGTTTATAACGTTATGCGTGCGTATTTGTGTTTGACTATTGCACGCATATACTATAGTATGCAAACTCCATAACAAAATCATGTTGACACACACAAAATGTTCAAACGTACAGTAGTACATAACGTTGTGCACGATTTCACTGAAGTAGATTTTGTCAATTTTTTTCTTCCTGTAGTTGTATATGGCATTAGTTGTGTCATATGCAGTGGTAACTTTGATGAGAGCCAGGCATGCGCAGACAACACCACGGTACAGGAGTGTCCAAGCGAAAAGACTGTCTGCTACTCCACCAAATGGACCATTCCTACAAGTAAGTTCCATGCCGGGGGGGGGGGGTTCGGAAGAACCCCCCCAATAAGGCTCAAAGGTCCACTTTTTGGTCCACTTTCTATGTAAAGGTCCACTTTTTGGTCCACATTTTATGTAAAGGTTCAAGATTTTTCTTGAAAAAAAAAATGGACTGGAATCGTAGAAAAACTGCTCCCTTTGTCATTGAATAAAAATTTATCTCTAATTTTCTCTTGGAAATCCTCTCAAAAATGCACGAAATGCCATTTTAGAAGGTTCATTTTTCAAAAATGCACGAAATGCCATTTTAGAAGGTTCATTTTTCAAAATTTTCCGGGGGAGCATGCCCCGGACCCCCCTAGGAACCTCGCGCCTACGGCGCTCGAGGTCCCCTCAAGCAGTGGGAAGAACCCCCCATTCAAAATCCTGGCTACGGCCATGAGTTCAGAGTTCGATACACCCCCCCCCACCACCATTCGTTTGAATCTCCAAGCAAATCATTCAGTGGCCCTAAAGACAGTATCAAATTGGCCATGCAGTATTCATTGGTCACCGAATTATCTGCTTGGAGAATACTTGAAAATACCTCGCGAAAGTCACAGCAGAGACATCTAACGACAACTGTATGAACTACAGCCCTGCACCATGTAAAACTCATCTAAACCCTTTCTAAAGAATCTAATCTCTAAACTGTTAAAAATAGCTAAAATAAAATAAGTGTCAGGACAGAATGTCAGACATTGAATTTGAACAATACTACTATGCATCGTCTGTGTGTATGTGTGTGTGTGTCTGTCTGTATGTATGTGTGAGTGTCTGTGTGAGTGTCTGTGTGTGTGTCTGTGTGTGTGGTGTGTGTGTGTGTGTGTCTGTGTCTCTCTGTGTGTCTGTGTGTGTATCTGTGTGTGTGTGTGTGTGTCTGTGTGTGTGGTGTGTATGTGTGTCTGTGTGTGTGTCTGTGTGTGTCTGTCTGTGCCTATGTGTGCCTGTGTATGTCTGTCTGTGCCTGTGTGCGCGCGCGTGTGTGTGTGTGTGTATGTGTGTGTGTGATGATTCACATATTCACTTGAATATTTCCATGTATTTCTCTTTCTCTTTCCTCATTTGAAGTCAATAACGGCAAAGGAGAGATGACTGGTTTTACCCGCGGTTGCGCCAAGGTGGGCATAGAACCCGGATGTTACAAGAACGCAGACAAGATCATCGTGTGTACGTCATACTGCCTTACTGACGGCTGCAACACGGACGATCCCGGGAGTGCGTCTTCTTTGCGTTCCTCTGCGGTCCTGATATTCTCTATTCTTGCAATGGTCCTGTTAATACCATGAGAAATATAAGCAATAGTTATCAATGAGACTATAGAGAAATTTATTGCAAATTAATGCCCGGGGGCTAATTGCAAATTACAAACATAAAAGAACATTGAAACAGTATAAAATAAATAAAATTTACACGATGAAAGGTCCTTGTCTAAACCTATAGCTATGTCTAAAACTATAACTAAGGGTTTGACTTCTCTTTTGTAAACCATGGGAGACCATAAGGCCATGTTGATGGAGTATATTGACGACATTTTCTGGGAACCCCAAAACTGATGCGATGTGCTCTCAAAACAGGACCAAACAGGCAATCAGTTTTACTTGACCTAGAAATAGGAATTTGCCGGAGACAAACTTGGTACAAGCCCCGGCACCGCGTCAAGGTGTTGCCTCCATTGCCGAGGTAAATTTAAGGACGCCATCCTGACAACAACCACTCACAGTCCCGATAAAAGTACAACAAATTAAAGCAGCAGATTTTAAAGAGTTTCACTCAGCTCACAGTTTGTATACTAAAAATAAACAAAAAAGGTATTTCTGTGGAAGTGAACAGCCAAAAGTGAAGAAGGCAATGTTGTTATTTGTGCCCTGTCTTGCTAAGTTTTATTTTCCTCCCTGCCTCTCTGATGTTTTTATTTGGTTAAGTCCTACTCTTAAGTTGGTTTCATTTATTTTACAACTAGACTAATTATTTCTTTATTAAGCCTCCTCCTTCCTTAGCTGTTCACAACCTCTTCAACCCAAATTGTATCAGTTTTCTCCGCTACCAATGTGAGCCAAGTGTACCTCCGTACGAAAATTCAGAAAAAGCAAATTTATCGGGACTGCGGGTAGAAGTATCAGGATGAGCGTCGGTTTACCAATACTCGCACGCCAATTTCCCATGGCTAAAAGAAAGTGCCTGGGACCAAAAAAATAGTCGACATACAGTCCTAGTCCGTCTACTAACCAACCCAACCTGTGCTGTCCTTGTCAACCAAAAAAATCACAGCAAATAAATTTAACAATTTAGAGAAATGGACAGGATCAATCAAGGGACAACACATCAAATATACACCGACAGAGGTACAAATTCAGAAAACGTTAAAATAATAAACGAAAATTCAACTACAAAATCTATGTGCCTACATGATTCTGTCACGTAGTCCTAGACGCAGGACATTCGAAGGGACATCGCTTATTCCACTGAGTCCTGTGTTTTACAGAAGCATTCCTCTAGTACATGGATGTATGTAGCTTCACCTGCATGGGCAAACACAGCTAGGGCAAAACAGACAAAGAAAACAACATAAGAGTTAAGCATTTTAAGTTAAACCTGAGTGAGTACACCAGATAAGTGCAATAAAATTTTAAGCTGTGAAACATACCCACATACCTGTACTAGTATGTTACTAGCAATCGAATAGCAACAATAAGGAATACCACATGTGATGTAACAGTGTTTAGATGCTCCGCCTTCAGCGGAGACCACATAGCCATGTTTCACAGACTGGGTTCTGGTGCTCTGCTTGGAGTTCAGGTAGTCGTTCTGGGCAAAACAAAAAGACAGAAAAACGTGAATCACCACACTGACAAAAATACTGCGAGTAATAAGACAAACATACATCTGGTTGGTAGTTGGATTAGTAATGACTGACAGGGGAAACACATAGGACACAAACATGTATGTAAACCGGCATGTAAAAAAAAAGAAAATCGCCTTTCCGGACTATCTGCTTATCGGACTATCTGCTTATAATTTTGTGACCTATTAAATCTGTACCATCTAATAGGCACAAGGTATTCAAAGCGGTGTCGCTTTCTGGTGAATCTGTAGCTCTGTGGCAACCTTACCATCGTCAGGCAAGTCGATGTACAGCGATGTTATGTGGCTTTACCTGCATAGACAAAATACAGCTAGAGAATAACAGACAAAGAACACAACATGGACTTCAGAACCGGAGATGTAGTAACCAGTTCACTTCCCTCTACCAGTTACCAAAGAAGCTCACGTTGAAGAAATGACGGTCTTCCAGGTTATGATATGGTGGTGGAGCTGTAGTCTGTATAACGCAAACTCTGCCGTCCGCGGCTTTACTGGCCCGTCCCCGCGCGCAGAGGGGCGACTGGATGTTGGGACGCCGGCAACCGTAAAGCGATTGAATCAGGCTAGTGGAGCTGCTACTGGTCCTCAGAGCTGCCGGGGCCGGAATCAATCTACTTCAATTTCAAATTCAAAAGGAACCACGCTGGAATTACACTTCAACGCACGAATTACAGGTATAGTTGAAACGCACGAGTATAATACTATACAACGCCCGAGCTCCTTTTGTGCCGCCAAATTTGAAACTAACCTGCACAACATTGCAGAGCGCTACGCTGAAATGTGTCAACGTGTTTCAAGCCTCAAAACGAGCCACGAATTACACTTATACAACGTTCAACGCACGAATAACAGGTATACATGAAACGTACGAGCTGCACCGGGGCTATTTTTCAAGCGGTCACGCAGGGGAAGAGAGAGAAAAAAAACGCCACTTACCTTTTCCATGTTGTCGGCTGGAATGAGCAGAACCCTGACGTGGGCTACTTTACAGGCCGGTGTTGGGCTGTCCCATTGTTTCCAGAGGTAAATTGCATACGTCAAACCAATTGAGGAGCTTCGTTTTAATTCGCCAAGAGACGCAAGAGATGTTTAAGGTTACTTTCCTAACAAATATATCCTTTACTACACCCACCCACAACTGTTTTACAACAACATTTAGTGTTACTTCTGTGGTACAAAGAAATAATGCAAAATGTCGCCCCCGTTTAGATACCAACAATGGTTTCACCCAGCACCTGTGCGATTGGGCGCGCCAAAATTCTTAGGAACCCGGCTGTCTACAATATCCTGGCCAATAGGAAGAAAGAGAAAATGCCATATCAGGTTACAGGTCTTCCCGCCGGCGAGGGTCTACGCTCATCATTGCTTATGACATTAGGAAGTCAGAGCGCTAAACCATTATATATTCCCGTAAATACTAAACCTTTGAGAGCAAATGTCTATTATATTTACGTTCTGATATGAGGACGGAGTTTAATTTTAATTTTCTTCTCCGAAAACACAAAATAACACAGACTTTAGTTCTAAATTCGGGCGAGGCAATAGAACCAATCAGCACACAGCAATTGAATGATTGACAGATGGTTTCCCGCCGTAAGAATGAAGTCCCACTTCCCTACCCACGGTATCAGGTTACAGGTCTTCCCGCCGGCGTGAGTCTACAGTCATCATTACTATGACATTAGGAAGTCAGAGCGTTAAACCATTATATATTGCCGTAAATACTAAACCTTTGAGAGTAAATGTCTATTGCATTTACGTTCTGATATGGGTGCGGAGTTTAATGTTAATTTTCTTCTTCAGAAAGAGAAAATGCCACAGACTTTAGTTCTAAATCCGTACGAACCAATAGAACCAATCAGAACAATGCAATTGAATAATTGACAGATGGTTTCCCGCCGTAAGAATGGAGTCTTACCTCTCTTCCCGCTCGCCGCAACTTGCCGCCATCACTGGAAAATCAGAGCGTTAAACCATTGCAAATGGCCGTGAATACTATACCGGTGACAGTAAATGTCTATTGTCTCTACGTTCTGATATATGGACGGAGTTTAATGTTGATTATCTTCTTCGGAAAGAGAAAATGCCACAGACTTTAGTTCCAAAAACGTACCAGGCGATAGAACCAATCAGCACACTGCAATAGAATGATTGGCAGATAGTTTCCCGCCGTAAGAATAAAGTCTTACCTCTCTATCCACGGTATCAGGTTACGGGTCTTCCCGCTCGCGGCAACTTACCGTCATCATTAGGAAGTCAGAGCGTTAAGCCATTCGTAACAAGATGGACTGATAGTCATCGAAAATTTGGAGGTCAGTATCCTTACCCTTACCTTCCAACTTATCACTGTTGAAAGAATCCTCTTGTAACTGTATCTATACGTGACAAATGAATCTCTTCAACGAAATGTCTATTATATCGAAATATTTTGTCCCGTTTTAACCGATGTCAACTTCGTTACAGCGAGGGTCACAACAAAGGTAAGACTAGTTCTAAGTCCTTATTTTACATAAATTATTTTTGGTTCTTTCATTTTATTTTACCATGACTGAACTTGTCTTTAGTTTTTATGTAGTTTATTGTTTTCCATGTTTCTATGTACTTAAATTGTGTCATATTTCTTGAATAAAATTATTGAAAAAAAAAGAGGTCCACAAAAGTCCCTCAAAGTGCACATTGTATTCTTTCGTTTTACTCGATAGAAACATCGTTACAAAATAGAAACTGCTAGGTGTTCTCAAAAGTATGCCAAAATTACGGCAAACCTTTGAGAACTTTTAGTTAATGGAAGAATGAAGGAAAGGCGGAATGACAGATTTTGCAATTGTATTAACGAATAGAATTTATTTTTCTTCGTTCTTCATTTGGAAGCCCAGCTCAAAGACAGTTCAATGTACCGTTGGGCACTTGAGTTTTCATGTTTCTTGTCCTTCAAATTGAGACGACGATACACTAAGAAAGGGACACAACAAAGGGTACACATTCTATGCATGGAGGTAGAATTCTGCCTCGATGGTCTATGGAAAATAAGCAATTAGCAGTTGTTATATTGTAGTGTTGTATATATTGTAGTTACTAAGTAATGACGGTGAAATTGTTATGTTGTATTTATTATGATGTATTTTTTATAATTTATTATAATGTACAGGACTCCAGGAAGAGTAGTGGGGGAACTGTTGTTGGTGTTTTTTTTTCCTCTTCTCTTCGTTTTTTTTTTTACTAATGTAGTTCCTAATAACATGAAGTAGCCTCTACGAAGGCACCGCGGATCGCTGAAAAAAAATAGTAGAAATTGGCCGAAATAAAGGATGGGTCGCATATTGGATCCTCTCTGACCGGCTAACTCCCCTAGTATATATATCCCTTTATTTCGGCCAATGCCTACTATTATTCCAGAGAAACATAAACACAAACAAAAGCCATTCGGGGTACAGGCTAGTAGATATGTGGAAGGTCTGGATCTCTTGCTTGAATGAGTTACAACAGTTCGGTAAGTGTAGGGACTCGCACAAAAACCCAGTGTGGAAGCAGCTATTAATTATTTACATCTGTTATATTTGCCAAGTACGGTTAGAGCACTGTGTATTCTCAGTGTTCTGACTAAAGCGACGGAGCAAACTATTCACCTATCCTTCAGGGGGGGATTGGGTTTTACCAACTACTATTGTATGAAGTCATTGTTAAAGTGGTACTTTCCTATTAATCTCAAGAAGACGATTTTAAATATATTTATCAAGTCTGTCTATATGAAAGTAGTGTATTTTATAAAACGACAAAATGCTTTACGGAAACTAAGTTAAGCTATATCCCCGGCAGTAAATGGAACAGTCCTAATAATCTCCCTTTCAGGAGAATGACAACAGGTAGATTTTCGGATCATGACTGTTTTTGTGAGGGTTTTCCAACAGAGCTGACATCTGTGCCGGAATAATGGTGCGTATACATTTTGGCTAGTCAGAAAAAAAGCTCTTGTTCATATCTATCTATTAGGTGATATTCGGCGTACAAGTTCTTTTAAAATCAAGCTCTTGTATTGTATGGGGGTCACTGGGTAAATTCTATATGTGATTTTGTCGTCTATTCGTGGCTCTTTATTTTTATGTAGAACTACAAAATAATGTTGTTATGGTCTTCCCTATGTGTCAGAGTGTTTATAGTAAAACGTCAATTCTAAACTAGACGTTCCATACAGTAGCTATGATATATTCACCCGTGTGATTTCTCATGCTAAGTTAGCGTTGCACTAAAAATTTATCGTTTTACCAGTGTTTCACACTAGTTGTTGAAAAAACCCCTACATGGCGCAGTTTTGATTTGATTTTGTGAAATGTACATGACTTCTATCCTCAGAACCTTTGGTTCTTTCTCTTCTCGTGTTTTCTCAGAGCTAATAATTTACGCTCGCAAAAATAACGCACTATTGTCGTCATTGTTTAACTTCCTCAGGTGCACAGTGCGCACGCTTACGTCATAGCCGTCGCCATGGCAACGCAAAGTAAGCAGACGGCTGTGATTTTATTTGGGTCAAGGCAAGGTTTATAAGAGATGCTAGTTCTATTACATATGGCTAGTTCTATTACATATGGCTAGTTCTATTACATATAGCTAGTTCTACCATATATGGCTAGTTCTATTACATATGGCTAGTTCTATCATATATGGCTAGTTCTACTACATATGGCTAGTTCTATTTTATACTCTCTTGTGTTGTATTTTACTTTGTATTGTTTTTTTTACCATTTATGTGCGAATAAAGAATACAATACAATACTATGATGATACTACTACATTGTACTTAGAATACAAGGGTATGATTATTATTATAAGATTGACGTTCTAAGGGCCTTATACATAAAATCGTCAATACCGATTACTAGAAATTTCTTAAAATTGATTTGTCTATTTTTTACCATCAATTAAAACTAACATTGGGAGTTTATCTGTGTTGTTAGAAGTCATTACGAAGCAACTCTGAACTGTATGCAATTCAAAACACGTCACAGAAGCTTTGGATTGTTTAATCCTTGACAAAGACTGGAGTTGTACAGTCGAAAATTTGGGAAAGTCCAATTTCTTGTGTAGAAATTTTACAGCTTGCTTCCACAATTAGGAAAACTTGACTTCCCATTATGTTTTATATATAGTAATGACAGGAACGTTGGGACTTGAGTGTCTTCAGTGCTTCGCCACTTCTCTTCCCTCCTCGTCCGAAGCCGTCGATCGTTGCCGAAACTTCACGAACCCAGCCGAAGCAGAGCCGTGCACAGACGGAAACGCCCGATATTGCTTCGTGCAAGAGAAAATTGTGGGTACGTTACAATCTCCAAACAGAGGTTTGAGTTTCGATTATTTTTGGCGTCCTTTTATGCTTTTTATAGGGCTTTCTTTTTTGCTGTGGTATCTTTTTTGTCGCCAACAATAAATATCAATAAAAAGAAAAAAAACACTTCGGTGGCTAATGGACACTGTCTTGCCAACGTAGATTATGCTTAGCCTCTACCAGGCTTCGGGAGGCGCATGGAAAAAGGAGAAATAGGGCAAATACTTATATATAGCGAGATAACATGCCGAGAGAGTTGGTCCGCTAGAGAGTGAATTCTGGTGCGGTAAAATGAACTCTCTAGCGGGCCAACTCCCTTGGGATGTTATCTTGCTATTTGACCGATATCGATTTCTACTCTTTCCTACCGCCTCCCGAAGCCAGGCACAGGCTAGACTATGCTTGGAGACAGATTATGATCAACCTCCTTGCTGTGATCGCCATTTTTGATCATTTTTATTTTCTTCTCCCCCAGCTGACAGAACTACTCAGTTCAACAGAGGATGCTCTCGTACTCAGGTTGGTGCGGGTTGT